GTCTTTGAATAAGGTCTTTTGGGTGCTGAATGTCATCAGAATCATTCACCTCACAGGCCTTGGTGCCTGAATTGTAGTTATATGACATGCAGTCGTCAACAATGTAACACTTAATGCGACAAGCTGTCTCACTATCAGCTAACAAGCCGAKAGATTTATGGTTTTGAAGGTAAAACCCACTTTTGATGTAAAATAATGACTTCATATTGGGACATTGACCTATTGAAAGGAAATGTAGGAATTATTAGCGCTGTCAAAATAATGATAAATAAAAATAAAAATATATATTGATTTATTCAAAGGAAATGTAGGGATTATTAGTGCTATCAAAATAATGATAAATAGAAATAAAAATATATATTGATTCATTCAAAGGAAATGTAGGGATTATTAGTGCTATCAAAATAATGATAAATAGAAATAAAAATATATATTGATTTATTCAAAGGAAATGTAGGGATTATTAGTGCTATCAAAATACAGCCTTTTGCAAAAATTATGAGAATTGTCTAAATATCTAAATATCATAATATCCATATCCATATATTGTCCAGAACACGCGGGTTTGCTAGAATAATTCATTGTTGACATCGAGATAATGTTCAGAACTACGGATAAGTGCGTCACCGCCGAAAAAAACTAAACTACAAAGACAAAGGACAAACGGGAATCGCDTGGGATTACCCATCATGCAATTGATATTATGATATTTAGATATTTCGACAATTCTCATAATTTTTGCAAAAGGCTGTAATGATAAATAGAAATAAAAATATATATTGATTTATTCAAAGGAAATGTAGGAATTATTAGCACTATCAAAACAATGATAAATAAAAGTATAAATATATATTGACCTATTCAACGGAAATGAAGAAATTATTAGCGCTATCAAAATAATTATAAATAAGAATAAAAATATATATTGATTTATTAAAAGGAAATGTAGGGTTATTAGTGCTATCAAAATAATGATAAATATAAATATATATTGACATTGATTTTTGGAAGCCACTAATAACCAAGATTCAATCAAAATCCTGAGGAAGACGACCAGAATGGCGTCGAAACGTAGAGAAAAAACAGAATTATGTGAGTCAGACAGCCCGATAACACAACAAAATAAATATATTGACCTATTCAACGGAAATGAAGGAATTATTAGCGCTATCAAAATAATGTTAAATTAAAATCTAAATATATATATTGACCTGATTCAAAGGAAATGAAGGAATTATTAGTGCTATCAAAATAATGATAATTAAGAATAAAAATATATATTGATTCATTCAAAGGAAAAATGTAGGGATTATTAGTGCTATCAAAATAATGATAAATAAAAATATTAGAGTTGCATGGCTTTCAGATCTTGTCATGGCGGCCATCTTGGTTATTCAGACACTGGGGCGCACTGCGCACGCTCTAAGTATGGTAACTAGTGGCAACTTAAGGTTTTTGATGGCGATATTTCGGGTCTTAAGCACAAAATCTTAAAAGTTAAATAAAATCAAAGTATTATGGTATATTTACTTTTAATAACTGACGAAACTAAATAAAGATATGCAAAAACGTTTAATTTCGTGTGTTCAAACGTATCGATAGTTTAACCGCCATTTTATTGTTTGGGGTCGTACGCATGCGCATTGCTCTCCATTCCAACCAGGAAGATTATCATGGRAAAACTAAACGAACAGCAACTTTGTAATGCAATACATTGATATGAAAAAGACGCAGTTTTGAAAATATCGGACTTCGTGTAAACGTGGCCTAATTACATTCATGGTGTTTTCAAAGAAAAGTTTCCTTTCGCTGCAGGTTGCACAAAAATTGTTGCTAGACAACCGCCGCGAAAAGCACCGAGAGGTTACATCTTTAATTTCAAATACGCTAAAATTTGCGCAATATGTAAAATTGACTTTCTCGTGCGAAACACTCCAGTTTCGAGATCTTATTTGTCCAGCCTTAACCTCAAAAGCAAGTAGTCTATTGTTTTATTCAGCAGGGATCGATCCTATTGTAATGCAAACACTCTGTGTGCAAAGAAGACATTTATAAAAGCAAAAATTATACTTTATTGAATCTTATCTTGCGCAAAAGAGAATTTGAAACTGGAGTATTGTTAAAATATAGTGATGATTATGTATAATACATGCTGTAAGTAGAGAGAATCCTCCCCTGTGCTGATATTAGACGTTCAAACGTCAAAAAGCCCCATGTTATAATTTTGTACACAAACTTAAGTATAAAATATATTACTTGTAACTGTCGCTCAAAATAATCTTGGAGGTCTTCATGCTTTTGACAGTTGAGGTACATAAAATGCATAAAAACTTAACTTTGTTGGCATAAAAAGAAACTTAAAGAAGCATGTCACTGGTTTTAAAAGTTGTAGCACTTAAAATCATCATTCTTCAGCTGTCGAATTTACTTCTTCTCGGCTTGCTAAACTTGTTTTTCATCAATTTTCAATGTTACCTGCAATTTTTGATGTCAATGACATCTACTGTTTCATAATGGTAATAATTTCAGTCCTGGAGGTTAAGAATTTATATTTAAAAGTATAGGAAGTCTTAATAACAAATGGCTAAATGCCCGCAAACGTTTGCTTAATTAAAGAGCCCACTTGCGAATTGTGAAATTATATCAGAAACCTGCTATTCACGTTTCCTGACTTAAAACTTCGAATTGGCGAAGCTAAATAAATATAAATATA